GAAAAAGACAAAACCTTTCCCGAACGCAACGCCTGGAACTTCGCCCATTCGATTCCTGCTGGCTGGAACCGGTGCTGGACCGCCTCAAACCCCCAGCCGACGCCCAGTTTTGCTGCCTTCGATCCTTGGTCCGCGACGCGGCGGCGTCCATCTGCACGCGCAGCTGCGCGTGAGCCATCCCGTCGCCGGGGTTGGCGCCGCCGCCAGCGCCCGCAGCGCTGGGGCGCTCCATGCGGCTCGGGGGGCTGCCCTGCCCAGAGTTCTGGCCCTCGGGGGGCGTCCGCCGACTCGCCCCATCGACTCTGGCCAGGCCCATCCTGGGCCCCCCATCGGTGCACACACGCCCCCAGGCCTTCGATGGCTCAAAGCTTTCAATCCTGGCGGTCCTCCTCGAAGTCGGCCTGGTGGACCCGTGGTCGGGCCCCAGGACCATCACAAAGGGCTCCGGGACGACAAGCTGTCCCCGGGAGAGTCTGGGGGGCGGGCGTCCACAAAAAGCAGGCCGTCGGATGTCGGAACCCCTCCTGGCCTGGCCAAGTGGGGGCAGGTGCAGCGAGCCTGGGACCCAGGGTGGGCCCGGGCAGGATCGGAGAGGTGAGTTTGTCGGCGTCCCCCGATGCTTGGCGGCGCGCTCAAGAGGAGCGGGGCGAGGGCGGCGACCTTCGGATCCAGACCTCCACGCGTGGCGGCACAGAAGTCACGGCCGAACGTGCCCGGCGATTTTTCGGCCCCCAGAGGTGGCCCAGAGCAGATCCTGAGAGCGCCCCGAGACGGCCCAAGATGGTCCCAACACGTCCCCAAGATAGCCCCCAGGCGGCCCCAGACGAACCCAGAGAGCCCCGAGCGAAAAGCCCCAAGAGGTCCAGGCGGTCCAGAAATTGAAGCCCCCGGGGAGGCCCACGCGGGCGCCGGGCGGCCGGCGGGCATCCCAAAACGGCCCAAGAGAGAGAGACCCACTCGACCGTGATTGGCTCACGACAACTTCAGGGGGCGTCGGTCTGGCTCCAGAACGCTCCAGAGCGGCTTCCGAGCGGACGCAGACGCTGTCTGCCCCAAGAGGGGCCCCAAATGTCCTCAAGAGGGCACGCACATGACAAAATTAGCCTGACGAAGGACCTAACCACATGCAGGTGTGAGTACCGCAGTTGTGATTCACTTTTTCGGTGGTGATCCCTATGAGGCAACGAACCGTGCTAGGGGTGTGCCGAAATGAATGGCGTGGTACACAACGCGAACGAAAACGATTGATCTGAGTACGTAGGGAGACTGAACGCAGGTGAATCTAAACGCGGGTGCGTCTGACTGTGAATGAATCTGGGTGCGAGCGAGTCTACGCGCATGAATGCGAGTATGACAAAGCAGGGTGTAACTGTAGATGAATGTCAGTAGTTTGAGAATGACTGCCTCTGAGTACTCGTGACGCTGGGCCTGGCCGCCGCAAGGAGCTTCCCCGGGACTCCCCGACGGCACCGCCCGTGCGCCGCGACGCCAATGTCGGCGCGCCCCCCCGCGAGGATCGCGCCCGCTTCCTCCCCTTCTTTTACTCCCTCTTTGCCCGCGCACTCAAAAGTCCAAGGCTGCGGGCGCAGCGCAGCGAGGAGTCCCCGCGATGCGCGCAGGTCGCCCCGGAGGGGTCCCAGCGACGCGCGCGGGTCGTCCGCTGCGCGGAGCAAAATGAGCTAGCTGGCTGGCTGATAGCGGGCAAGGCTCTTGCCGCTGGGCAGAGCGACGGCGGGCGAGCGAGGCGCGGAACTCCGACGGAGGTGTACTGGGTGGGGGAGACGCATGAGGACTGTGCCACGGGGGAGCTCCCTATGGGGCCACGACGCGCTGTACTGGGTGGGGGAGACGCATGCGGACTGCGCCACGGGGACCTTCGGTGGGGCTCCATATGGGGCCACGAAACGCTGTACTGGGTGAGGGAGACGCATGCGGACTGCGCCACGGGGACCTTCGGTGGAGCCCCTATGGGGCCATGAAGCGCTGTACTGGGTGGGGGAGACGCATGCGGACTGCGCCACGGGGACCTTCGGTGGCGCTCCCTATGGGGCCACGACACGCTGTACTGGGTGAGGGAAACGCATGCGGACTGCGCCACGGGGACCTTCGGCGGAACCCCTATGGGGCCACGAAGCGCTGTGCTGGGTGGGGGAGACGCATGCGGACTGCGCCACGGAGACCTTCGGTGGAGCTCCCTATGGGGCCACGAAGCGCTGTACTGGGTGAGGGAGACGCATGCGGACTGCGCCACGGGGACCTTCGGTGGAGCCCCTATGGGGCCACGAAGCGTTGTACTGGGTGGGGGAGACGCGTGCGGACCGCGCCACGGGGACCTTCGGTGGCGCTCCCTATGGGGCCACGAAGCGCTGTACACCCTGCGAAATGCTCAAGGAATCATGGGTTAAGAAATTCATAATCTCAGAATCTGAATGAAAACCCAGAATGTCGATTCAAATCTTGGGATTTACATTGAAACATTAAGAATAATCGAGACTCTGGCCGAAAACTTGGGTTTTCTGAAGCATCGCCTAGAGTGTACTGGGTGAGGGAGACGCATGCGGACTGCGCCACGGGGACCTTCGGTGGAGCCCCTATGGGGCCACGAAACGGTGTACTGGGTGGGGAAGACGCATGCGGACTGCGCCACGGGGACCTTCGGTGGCGCTCCCTATGGGGCCACGAAGCGCTGTACTGGGTGAGGGAGACGCATGCGGACTGCGCCACGGGGACCTTCGGCGGAGCCCCTTGTGGGGCCACGAAACGCTGTGCTGGGTGGGGGAGACGCATGCGGACTGCGCCACGGGGACCTTCGGTGAGGCTCCTTATGGGGCAACGAAACGTGTGATGATGTTGATGATGCTGATGCTGATGCTGTTGATGATGACGACGATGATGTGATGATGATGATGATGATGATGATGATGATGATGATGATGATGATGATGATGATGATGGTGATGGTGATGGTGATGGTGATGGTGATCGTGATGGTGGTGATGATGATGATGATGATAATGATAGGAGGGGACGGGGAGGAGGAAGGAAGGAGGAACGCGGGGCACCGTCTCTTCAAAACGAGGACCCAACATCACAGGATAGTTGGGGAAAAAAGCCCCAAGAGGACTCGGGAGGGCCCCTCCCCAGCGTTCTCCCCCAGTGGTTTCCCCAAGCGCTGCGGGAGCACGCAGTCCACCGGCGTGGTCGCACCCCTGATCGATCTTTCACGGCAGGGTCGTTTCCAAAAGGCAGCGGGCGGCGGTGGTTCGCCGTAGGCATCTTCTTAAACGACGAATGGTCTGCCAGAGGCATGCCACGTGACGCAAGTGTCCTTCCAACACGCAATGCTCGATCATCGCAAGAACCATCATGACCCGCGGGATTTGATTCCTGCTGCTGCACTTGTTGCTGCACTTGCTGCTCGACCCTGCAGTTGTCGTCTTTGGGGTGGCGTGCTGATTCCTGGTGACCTCCCCCTGAAGGTCGATCGACACTCTCGAAGGAGCACCATATACAACACCGCTCTGACAGAGGCCGGGGAGGAGGAGGAGCAGGAAGAGGGAGGGAGGGAGGGGAGAAACTAGAGGGGCACCGACACCCGACGCGAGAAAACACGACGAGACACAGCTGGGCCCGAGAAATCGGCAAGGACGTCGGAAAATTACAAAAAAACTAATCCGAGACGCCCGACATCACGATCGGTTCGTGACGCGGGCCTCGAACCTCTCGACCACATGTTGGACCCCGGCGCCACGACCCCGCGGATACGGGGCGTTTTGTTCGCGGATGTCCCGCGCGAAGCGTGCTCGTGCGATCGCGTGCCCCCGCTGGAGGCGGCCAGGGGCGTCTGAGCAGGTCGGGACACCAGAACATCGGTCAGGAGGGGGATGCAGCCACATCCGCCCATCAAAATCCGTACAGTCGGGGCGTTGACCTAAGGAACCCTAAATAAGGAACGAGGCCCCTTTTTTCCATAAGTTAACCTTCCTGTCGAAAACCTACGGAAAGCCTGAGGCAAGCTGTGAAACACTTCAGGAACGCGGAGCCCCCTCCCCAACCAAAAGGGTTCCTTCTTCAGGGCCCCGGCTGTACCCAGACTCCTCCCCAGCTCCACCTGGTGCAGTGCTTCATCCCGGCTCCGTTCCTGGCGAAGCCCGGGGCCCGGCGGCGGCTCCCAGAGGGCAACAACAAAGGCAACGCAGACCTTCACCTCTTCCCCTCCCTTCTCTTCCTGCCGGCTGGGACCGGCGCTGGGCCACCTCAGACCCCCAGCGGGCTCCCATACCCACGGGGCCGCGCCCCAGAGTCCAGGCCGCGAGGGCGCCGACGTGGACGCGTCCCCGCCGCTCGCGGCGGAGGCCAGGGGGCGCGGAGGAGCAGCTCGCCGTGGCGGCGGAGGCTAATGGGGGACGGAGGCCCCAGGGCACTGCTAGGGAGCCCACAGAGGACGTGCGCGCCCAGCTGTGTACAGGAACACGGCCCCTCGCGATTCGCGAGGCTTCGGCCGCGTGATACGAACCTTTGTGAAATATGCGTGCTCTCGACAACAGCGTGGATTCATGTACTCCAGATTTCGTAATTAAAGGGAGGGGGTCTGGAGTACGTGTACGCCCTTCTTTCGCCCCAGAGGGCACGGCGGCCGCAGGGGCGGAGGCCGCGGCGGCGGCGGCGGCGGCACGGCCGCGGCGCCTCTCCAGCGCTCGTGGGGGTCGCGCTCGGATCCGTGGGGGGGTAGCGCGTTTCTCACGGGTCGGAGCGTGCTCCCCCCGCCCGCGGCCTCTCCTCCCCCCCGCGCCCTCTCGGGCGCCCCTTCCCTCTCTTCCCTCGCCCTCTCGGCCCCCTCCCCCGCCCGCGCCCCCTCCCTCTTCCCTGGAGCCCGCTTCGACTCCGACCCGTCACTCGGCCGCCTCCACCGCGTCCTGGACCCGAGTAGCCACTGGTAGAAGCAGGGGGGGGGGGGCGGCTCGCTGGTGGGCGGGGGCAGCGCAGCGGCGGGGCGTCTCCAGCGCTCGTAGCTGTCCCTCGGCCGCCTCTTCAGGAAGTCCTCCAGGTGGCCTCGCACCTTCCGGCGAGCGCGCGAGCCCCCCCCCCCCCCGGGCCAAGGGCGGGGCGCACGACGCACGGGACTCCCCGCTGGGAGGTGGAAAAACGCTCGCGAATTTCTCGCGGGCGTTTTCCTGCACGGCGCGCGGTCCTGAGGACGGTGCCTTTCTCCCTGGAAACACGCGCTCCCCCCCCTGGGGCACGAGAAAATCACGACGGGATCTGTTCGGCTACTTCTGGCCTCTGGGGACCCTCGCTGGGTCCCCCAAAGGACAGTCAACAAGAGCACGCAGGACGATAAGAAACCTGTCCGGGGGAGTGGGGTCGAGACTCAGCTGGGGGTCGGGATCGTGAAGAAGTCATGACGTCGGGCGTCTGGGGCACCCCCCTCCCCCAGATCTCCGACGAGACAGTGCTCGTCCATCGCGGCGTTGTGCCTCGACGTCGGCCTCCGGGGCGCGCCATCGGGTCCCAGGCCATAAGAAATTCATCCAGGGCACGAAACTACCCTCAGGGAGGGGGTCGGGAGCTCTCCCTTCCCTTGAGGTCCGACGACGCGAAAAAATTGGAGCATCGTGGAACGTCACGACTGGAGCCCCAAGCCTCGTCTTTCTGCGCCCTCTCTCGACGCGGATCGATCTGTGAGGGTCCCAGCGGGGGGGGGCCCGGCATCATGCGAAACCACGCCCGGCTCGAAGATACTGCGTCGCCAGGACCTCATGGCCCGCTGAGGCCCGACGCCGCGGAAGAGTGCAGCACCGTGCAGAGATCGCGACCCGGAGCTCCAGACGCCAGCCTCCCGCGGCGCCCCTCGGCGCGCCTCGGCCCGCAAGGGGCCCCCGGGGACCCGAGACTGGGCTTCCTTCGACCCCATCCTCCCCTCTATCCCTCCCTCGAGCCAGGGAAGAGCCACGACGGCAAGCTTGGCGCCGTCCTCGGGCCCCAGGGGGGCCATGGTGTACGCCGGGCCTCGGGACCGCCCAACGAGGGCTCGGGAGGAAGAGCAGGTCCGGGGGCGTGGATATCGAGGCCTCTGGGGGCCGACGCCATGCAAAAAGCAGGCCGTCGCGGCTCCTGGGGCTCCCCGTCCCCCGTCCCCCTCCCCCCCCCCCCAGAGAGGAGGGCCGGGCGCGGCTCGAGGCACGAGGCCAGCCGGGCCCAGCGGCAGCCCCCCGAGGCGCTGAGCAGCGCGGCCCGGCGCTGCGCGCGGCAGCAGCGCGAGGCCGATCCCGGCACGCTCGAGGTACGCTCGGGCCGACGGGCGCGGCCGACGCTAAAGAGGGGGCGGTTCGAGCGAGCGCGACCTCGCGCACGGCCAGCCCTGAGAGCACCGGGAAGCAAAGAGCGCGGCCACCACACAGCTGAGCTTGGCCCAGGCGTCGTGTGCATGACAGCATCCAACAGGTTGGAGAGCGCCCAGTAAGTGGCAGGCCTCGCGCACCTACCACGGGCTGTCTTTGGAGCAGAGCCTGCTTCCGGAAGCATCGCTGCCACCCCAGGGGCTCTCAGCACCTGAGGCCCAGCGTCCCCATGTTTTGACTGCGCAGCCGCGGCCGTGGACTGGTATCCGTCGCGTCGACTACGCTCGGCATGGACTCACCAGATTACCAGACATCAACACACGAGTCAGAAGGCGCGGTCGCCTTTGAGTGTACAAATGAACACATGAGGACGCAGCTGGGCCTGAAGTTGGCGAAGGAGCAGTGTCCACCCCCCAGGAGGGACAGTTTCCAGGGTTTTCCTGCCCCCCAAATAGGATGGGGGGACGACGATGACGATGACGATGACGATGACGATGACGATGACGATGACGACGACGACGACGACGACGACGACGACGACGACGACGACGACGACGACGACGACGACGACGACGACGACGACGACGACGACGTGGATTACGACGTGGACGACGACGACGACCTCTGGACCTCTCGTGGAGGTCGACTCCCGTGCGCTGGAAGGTTGCAGCCCTCCCGCTCCCTGAAGCATCACAACACCACACCACACCCACAGCGAGGGGGAGGGGGGGGGGGAACCGCAGCACCGCTCCACACCCACAGCGGGGCGGGGGGGGAGGGGGGGAGGGGAACCGCAGCAACACGACACACCCACTGGAGGGCGGGGGGGAGGGGGGAGTGGGGAGCCCGACCCCATGAGCATTGAGTGGGGGGCCTTGGATCATTAATTATACAAATACACATCCACCGCCCTCCCCTTCGTCCTGCCCTACTCGTCCTTCTCCTCCTCCTCCTCCTTCTCCTCCTCCACCGCCTCCTCCTGATCCTTCTCCTCATCCTCCCTCAAGTGCTCCCCTTTCCCCCTACGTTTCCTCTGTCCATTCCTCCTCTACCTGCTGCTCCTTCTCCTCTCCCCCTCCTCCTCCTCCTCCTCCTCCTCCTCCACCTCCTCCTTCTCCTCCACACTCGTCCTCTGTCGACAGCGACGTCCTCGACGATGACGACGACCGACAACTCACGACAGACGGCCCACAACCGACAACTGACGACTTTCGACGCTCGGCCACGACGACGACGGACGGACGGACGGACGGCCAGCGGACCTACGGCGGCAACGCTGACGACGGACTGACAGACTGACAGACTGACGACGGACCACGGAAGCGTTTCCCTACTAGACCACCCCTAACCCAGGCCGAAGGTCCATCATTTCGGGTGGTGTGTGTATGTATGTATGTATGTATGTATGTATGTATGTATGTATGTATGTATGTATGTATGTATGTAGGTATGTAGGTAGGTAGGTAGGTAGGTAGGTAGGTAGGTAGGTAGGTAGGTAGGTAGGTAGGTAGGTATGTATGTATGTATGTATGTATGTATGTGTGTGTGTGTGTGTGTGTGTGTGTGTGTGTGTGTGTGTGTGTGTGTGTGTCTGTGTCTGTGTCTGTGTCTGTGTCTGTGTGTGTGTGGGTGTGGGGGGTACGGGCTCCCCCTGCTTTCTTCATGCTCCAGGATGCCCCCACCCCCTACAAGGAACGGAGGGCAACTTCGGGCCTTCGGGTTGGGTTGGGGTGGTTCGGTGGGCCGTGATCGGCTACAGTCAACCCGGAGTAAGGATGCACGCTGAGGATGCAAGGGCCTTGGAAAGCCATGTTGACGCTCTTCGAGCGGAGCGCCACCGAATACTGAAGGATGCAGGGGTACCCTAACGCACCCCCGTTCTTGCCGAACTGGCGCCCCAGATTTCGTAATAAAGGGAGGGGGGTCTCATTTCGGGGGGGGTCTCTTCCAAGCTATCTTGGAGGGCCTGGGGGGGTCTAGGGACGATGTTTTGGAGGGTTCTCCCACGGGGGGGGGTCTGAAATGGCTTGTCTTGGAGGGTCCAGACCCCCTCCCTTTTATTACGAGATCTGGAGGGGCACAATCAGAGACAGGACTGGCCCGAAGCAGGAGCGACCTTCCGTGCGCGGCCCGCGGGGGGCGGGGGCACCGCCAAGAGCACAGGCCGCTGCCGCCGCGCCGCACTCCGCGGTCGGGGGGCCCCATGGGGCCCGCACCAGAAGGCCGCTCTGGCGAGAGGCCACTCCTGCACGTACAGTCAAAAACCCTAATAAGGACGCGCGGTAAGGACGCAAGACCCGTGGAAGCCGAAGTTGGGATCTTTGGGGCGGCGGACGACGAAAACCTCAAGGACGCAAGAGCAAGGAAGAGCAAGGACGCAAGGGTACCCCGAGCAAAGTCGCGCGTCCTTATCAGGGTTTCTGACTGTAGCCGCAAGGAAGCACACTTCTTAGAAGGGGGGCTGCCTCTCACAGGCCGCCGGCCTTGCTTCTGCAGATGAGGCCCGCGCCTTCCTCTGAGAAGCAGGGGTGCTTCTGAAAAGCCTCCCCCCTCCCACCATCTCCGTCTGCGCGTGGCCGAGTCTTGGTGGGCAATGAGGAAGACGGTGATGACGAGGAAGCGTGATCCATGTCGAATCCGTGCCGAATCCATGTCGAGCGCGTCGAGTTTGTGCCGAAGCCGTGTCGAAGCCGTGCCGAATCCGTGCCGAATCCACGCCGAATCCGCGTCGAACCCACCCACGCTGGAGATTTGCAGGACAGAAGGAGGTCCCCCGAAGGTGCAACGTAGAACGGGTCATGAGGAAGACGGCGACGACGCGCCCGGCCGGGGCTGGCCTCGGCCGGGCACTCACCGAGGAGGAGGAGGAGGAGGAGGAGGAGGAGGAGGAGGAGGAGGAGGACGAGGAGGAGGAGAG